ACAGAGGTTAGTAGACTGCAAAATTAAACTTGAGAATTGGAAATCAGTTGGTATTTTGTGCCCACGTATATCTCACATTTGTTGTTAAAAACAGCGTTCAACTCATATTTACTGACAACACTGGAAAAACAGCCCTACTTTTTTAAGCTCTACAAAATTAATAGCAAGAAGTAGTGATGTTTTTCAATGGCTGGATATCCAAGGTAATATAACAAGTTATACTCAACAATGACCAAAGCTAGTTGTTCCTCATTTTTTAAAAGCTGGTAATCATATAAGTGCAGTTGTCTCCTGAGTGAGGTGTGATGTTAGACAGGCACACTTAAGAAATGTATAATATGAGATACACAGTGGTAATATGAAATTAAAGTTCAGAATCATAAATAGTTTCAAAGACAACAATTAATTGATTACCAATGACAAGCCAAGAGTCATACACCGGAAATGTCCCTGGATTTGGAAATGTCTTGTAGAAATCACATGGTATACTGGATAATATACTTGTTTATGTACTGCTGATATCTTACCAGTAACAAGATCTTTTGTTTTGTCTGTGGGTAGTACTGCCACCTCTTGTTAAATGAGGAGTACTGCACCTGTCCAAATAATCCTACTGCCTTAATAGTTATGGGAAAATGTGTCCAACTTAGTGCCAAGGGGGTGCTACATGGTGCAATACATTTTAATTAAATCCCATACAATTCACTCTAAGAGCATATACAAAGTTGAAATCATATTCCTGAATTTCTGAGTTTCTTTTGGGTCATAGTCTAGTAGCCACATCAATAATTTGCTTTCATTCTCCATGATAAGACTGTATTTATATTCTAATCACTACTAAGTACAGTGACTACAGGGGCAGGCACATGATTTATTCCAGTGAATTATAAGACCAGTCATGGTGTGGAAAGCCTCGAGCGGGCCAACAAGAGGTGGTAGGGAGTAAAGAGTAAAAGGTCATCAGCAAAGGCTGAGACCTTCAGGGTGACATCACCAATTGGGATTCCCTTGAATTCCTGTAGGGTCTCCATGGCTCATAGTAAGGGGTCAATAGCTAAATTGAATAACAGAGGTGAAAGCAGACAGCCCTGTCATACGCCTCTGTCAAGTGTGAAATAAGGGAAGTCAAGTCGTAACGCAGGCTACTGGGATGTGTTATAAGTTTTGGATAAAGTGTACAAAAGCATGCCCAAAATATCAGTACACAACTTCAGTACACAAATCAGATGTTGCCAGGTAATGTTATCAAATGCCCTTTCTATATCAGGGTCAATAAGGAATGGTAATCGTTAGTCAGTCCCCCCATAGCTGACTCGAGCCACTGCTGCCGGTGTCCTACGGACCACCTTGACTGCCTGTCTTCCCCGTACAAAGCAAAGTTGGTGAGCAGTAAGGAAGTTTGGTAAGAATATTTGTATTCTCAGTGCTTTGATTTTAGTAAGGAGTTTAATGTCCTGGTTAAGCAATGAAATTGGATGATAGGAGGCTAGGACCTCCACGTACCTGCCAGGTTTGGAAAATGAGAATGATTCGGAAATGGTAAAAGGACATCCAAATTTATTTGATTAAACCGTTTTTTGAGGGTGGAGCTGATTTGAAGTTTCAGGATTTTTTATTCAGCAGTGAAGCCATTCAGGGTTGCTCTGTGTATTTTATCTTCAGCAATAGGCTCATTCAGAAGCTCCCTGGACTCCTCATCCAGTTATGAGAGGCTCTTTAGAAAGGCTACACTGTGGTCATGTTTATCTGGTGGAACCTTGGTCAACTGTTGATAATAACTATGAAACAAAGTATTAATCAATGGATGTGAGGTGCACCTAATGCCCTCTGGAGAAGTAATGGGTTTGAAGTTGGACTAGGATTGGCTAGACAAGTTTCCCAGACTTTTCACCCCATTGGAAAAGGTGATGTTGCTGAAAATTTTGAGTAATCTGTGTGTTTCAACTTATTATCCGAACTGGACTGTAAATAACCCTGGAAAGATAGATTGTTAGTGAGATATGGTTGGGATGCTGTGGTGTAGATCAGTAGGGTGATACATGCACAATCCGAAACAGCAATCATCTCTATAGTGACGCTAGTGATGTAGGGTAACAGCGCTGGGGTGATCAGAAATCTATCGATCATAGAAAAGGAGTTGTGTACTTGAGAATGAAATGTGCAATCCCTCTCTTCACCGTGTAGTATTCTCAATGGGTCTTGCAAGTAACAGGAGGTAGGAGCCAGCGATCACTGTCTGTGGGAGTCATGTATTCCTATAGGGATCTGTCTATTGATGGATCAAGGACAGCGTTAAAGTCTCCCCCTACTATTCTTTGGTCAACGTCAATTTGGGCGAGAAGTGTCACTAATCTGGTGAAGGGGATAGCACAAGAATTTGGAGCATACACATAGACCAGGCATAAGCAACCTTCGGCACTGCAGATGTTTTGGACTACACCTCCCATGATGCTTTGCCAGCATTATGTGTGTTAGAGCATTATGGGGAATGCAGTCCACAACATCTGGAGTGCCGAAGGTTGCCTAACCCTGACATAGACAATACAACAACAGGTATTGCTGATGGTAAGACATAGGATTATATAACTGTGACGAAAGTAACCTCGTCACTGGCTTTTGGAGGGGCCTCCTGGCCAGCCTCTTGCCTCAGAACTATGGGCCCTACAATATACCTTGCCCAATGCACTTTAAAAGGCTCTGTTCATGTGAAGTATGTACTTTTTTACTCCAGACAGAGACTGTTAGCCCTAATTCTCTGGAACTGTTTTGGGCATGGGACCATGTGCACAGTGGGTCAAAACTATGACTTCCAGGAAATTCCTGAACCCCTGAACCGATCTGGATGATTTTTGGATATGTTGTTCACCCAGATCAGGGCTATCAGGTGACTTTTATGGGGATATGTTGTATTTTGGGGTACTTTGTAAAAATGTGTGTTTTTTTTCTGCCTGGGGATAATTAGGCAGGCAGAGTGGAGGGATTGTGTGCTGTGTGTGTCAAGCATTGTTACATTGCTTCTTTTGGTCTGTACAATTTGTGTCCTGTGCCCCATCAGGTCCAGTGGGTGTTCCTCTGGCCTGAAAAGTTGTATAAAAATCCAACCTGTACCATTAAACTCTCAGATCATCTAGCACCTTCATGAAGTTTTGTTTGGGGGATTGGAAAACTACACTCTGGGGATTGCTATAATCACTATACTCCCCTGAGTATAATCACTAAGCTCTTGTAAGAGCTGCCCCTGCCACGCTCTCTGGACTAAGAGAGGCCTACCCACTAGAAGCTGGATCCTGGTCTTGGGTCCAGGGTGGGTGAAGGCTGGCGAGATCCCAACCAAGCTGCGGCGGTTCATTGGGTTTATGGTGGTTATGGTGTTCCATTGCAGTGCTTATGGTACTCGCCAGTACTAGGAAGCAGCGACTAACGGAGGTACCCGGTCGGGGTGCCAGGTGGTCCGTCACAATAACAGCCTTCAGGATCAGTATCACAACTGTGGATGAAGTATTGCAAGTTAGAGTGTAACAGGATCACCACACCCCTAACCTTGGAATTGTATTTAGTGGCTATGCAGGATTGAATAAAGGAGCCTTGAGTTGAGTGGCTTCAGAGCTTGACCAATGGGTTTCCTGCAAAAGTATAATCTACACTTTGTGTATGGTTAGGTAAGTTAGTAATTTCTTTCTTTTTTTTTTTTTTATTCTTTTTTTTTGTCATGCAATAATGTACAACAGCATCTGTGTAGCCACAATAGCCATAGCAGACGTGATCATGTGCAACATATAAAAACTGTTTTGTGGCATAATTAAACTCAGCACTTTTTGTTATATATTGAAACATGAGTGACAACATTGAGCAGTGTATAGTTTGACATATTTTTCAGTAAGGGTGTTTAGGTGTCTAGGTCTTGTGGTGGTCTATGAATTTATTAATTCTTTATTTTGTTTAGTAAGATAATTCAGGATTCTCAGTCGCCGCTATAAGAGCGTATTACGTAAATTTCAAAGAATAAGCTATGGCATATTAATGTGCAGATTGGTATATATAAGAGACAGGCTGATCCAAGCATTTGTGTTATCAGAGTAGTTTAAATTATATATTGTGTAATAGTGGTTGGCTACGCTAGCGCGGTAGTTCGTGCTATCATCACGTGCTGTTTGGTAGTTGCTAGTGTCTGTAAAATACATGAGTGGGTCCTTGTCTATATACCTAGGTCATGGAGGCCCATAGGTTGGTGGCTTCGCCTCGTCTTGCCCATGTCTGTGGGTGACTTCGCCAGGTCATCAGCCAGTGTAGGTTGTACATTAATGTTATACATAGGTTACCTAAACGAAAGGTGTTAAGATCTGCTTGGACCTAAACATAGTATGAGTTCACACATGAATGCCGTATCCTATGTCTATGTTAATAAGCCTTGTTCATATTAAACGTGGCAGTGATTGGACAGGTTGGCCGTACATGGCGACTAAACATATACATTTACAGTTCAGCTGTCAGGGTAAGCTAGCACATACCGTAGGGCTGTGCGTCTGAAACTGCCATACCAACTTTAGACCTCTCCTGGCTCGGTCAATAAGGTATGTGACGTTCGGCCACTTTTGACTGGTATAAGACTACTATTTAGTAGGAGCTGAAAAGTACCTTTGGTATCTGGTCAGGGCTAGATAAGTGCCAAAACGAGACAATATAAAACAGAACAAATGATTCAAAACTGGTTGGAGACATGGGCAAAATGTCCGACATTCTGAACAGTTATTTAACTGCGGAATTATTGCAGATGATGTGGGGCCAGCCTCTGCCCTCCATTATTGCTGAGTTCGTGGGGTGTCCGGTTGTCGTGTGTCCATCTGCTGCTGGGGGTGTTTTCTCGGTGCGGTGAAAGCACCGTAAAGCTTGTCTAGGGATCGTGTCCATGAGGGATGGGGTTGAGACAATAACTAAAAATCTAAATACAACTGTTCATTAGTTCTGCCTGGGGGATTGTTGTGGTTCGGGCACCTGTCCTCTCAAGTGTCCACTCTGTGCCAGTTTACCCGTTGCTCCTTGGAAGCCGTTGAGGATGGGACGTTGATGTTAGAGGGTTGAAACGGACTGATGTTTGCCACATCCCAGGTGTGATGGGCCTTTGGCCTCTGGTCGGTTGTAGCTTGTTCCTGTCGTGGTGGTAGGCCCAGCGCTGCCAAAACTGAGTCTATTTCTGATGGGTCTGTGACCCGTGTTGTTGTGCCCTTATGTGTGATGATCAAGCTTCTGGGGAATGCCCAGCGATATGGGATGGAGGTTTGGCGGAGAGTGGCCGTCAGGGGTTTGAGGAGGCTCCTCCACAGCAGGTAGGCCTAGATAGGTCTTGAAAAAATGACAGGCTGGCTGGCTCAAAGAGGTGGGAATCCTTTCCCCCTCACCGCCGCCATGAGGGTTGCTTGGCCTGTCCGCGTTTGAAATTGGAGCATGATATCTCTCGAGGTGTCCGCTGGGGCTCTGGCAGCCCTCGGGATTCGGTAGATCCTGTCTGTTAGGGATCATCTGCTGTGGCGTGAGTAGGGAGGAGAGGAGTCGTCCGATATATCCCTGTAGGTCATCATGGGTCACGGTTTCGGGGACCCCTCTTACCTTTACGTTACGGCTTCTATGCCGGTCCTCCATTGCATCCAAGCGGGTGGTGATTAAGGTCTGAGTGCGCTGCAGCTCTGTATTTTGAGCCTCTAGTTGTATGCACCGTGCGCTGAGGCTCTGCGAGTCCACCTCTGTCTTCTTGACTCGCCCCTCTACGGTGTGGATCTCCTCCCTCAGGACCGCTATGTCCACCGCGAAGAGGGAGCGAATATTGCATAGGAGGGCTTTTATGTCTCCCTTGGTGGAGGGCAATTCGTGGTCTTCATCCGAAGATATGCTGTGTAGACCCCCTGTGCCGGGGAAGTCGTCTAGTTCATCGAGGATCTGTTCTCCGGAGGAGGCCGAGTCGCCATCTTGGTTTTGCGCGGGAGTGTCTGCGGCCTTGGCAGGTCGGAGGAGAAGTGCTCCGATATCTCGTGCCCCCACCGGTTTTACGGCCCCTTGGTGTCTGGATTTCTTTCCCATCTCGGGGTGCTATGGTATAGGTGAGTATTGTTAAGTTGTAATCAGTTATTTTGCGGTTTTCAGGCTTTTGGATGCGGAGCTCTGAGGATGCACGTCTGCTTCAGTCGGCTGTTGGCTCCGCCCCCCAATTTCTTTCTTTTGATGGGTGTGTTTGCACCTTTCAAATTCCAGAAAAAGGAACTTGAGAGAGGAAGCAGGAACATTTTGTTAAAACATCCTTATTTATCCAATGAAACACACTAATTGAAATAAATCAATTAGAAACATACAGGATTCAGTGGAAATGAGAATATATAGAGCACTTCACAGTAAAATGAGAGTTAATTTATGCTCTCTTGTTTAAATGTATCAGCTAATCATATCAACACTACCTATTAAATAAGAAAGGCAGAATCTATGAGCTGCTGAAAGTAATCTAATATAGGTTTCAATAAATTATGAATCCTATATATATGGCTGGATAATACAAGTAAAATAAAATGAAATAGAATAGAACCCCTCCAAGGGTTAAAAAATATAATGTAGCAGACAGATACTTTTCAAAGTTTATTAATAGATGAATAAAAATGCTACAAATGTATGTAGCTATCAATAAAAGTCCCAAAAGAGAGTAGCAAGTTAGACAGCACCCATACCAGGTTAACAGACCTCGAACCCAAAGGATATTGTAATTACTTTCTCGCCGGCCGGACAGAAGTAAATGGGATTTTCTCGTGCTGTGTGCTGCTGGTTTCTAGCCGCGTGCGTTCCACTGCGGCTCAGGATGCGTGTCAAGGATGCTCACTCTCGGGATCAATGTGTGTTTGCAGATGCCGCCTTACGCGTTTCGTGATTCTCGATCACTTCGTCAGAGGATGGCATCATGTAGTCTGCAGTCTTCTTTTTATACTTGTTCTGTCTGTCTCCAATAAAATTAACCCTTACTACGTCTATATATAGTATTGCAATTCAAATCAGTATAATACATTGTTAAAAGATCCATAGTGAGAAATATGTACCTATATATAAGGTCTATAAAGAGTGGAAGTTATAAAAAGTGGAAATTAAAAACAGTTGAAATTAAAAACAGTTTAAAGGGGAACAATATAGAGAGGGGCAATATATAAAAAGGGGGAAATGTATAAACAGAATTATAATGAATGCTGACATATTGATAATATGCATGTAATAATAAAAAATAATTGATAAAATAATCGATAAAATACTCTAGTTATCTAGTACAAATACATGATAAAATATTACATAAATTACAATAATCAATAATTAAAATAAATACATGATGATGGGTAGGTTATAGGTATATAAATAATACATCTATCTTGGAATATAGTATAATAATGTCTAAAAATATTAAAATATATATTCCAAATACTTTTAAAATTATTCTAAAAATTCATTGTGATGTGGATTGATCACCTAGGAAAAAAAAAAAAAGGAGGAGAAAAAGAAAAAGAGGGAGAGGAAAAGGCGAAAAAACGAATACATTATTAATGAAATTCAATTAGTGTGAGTGCACAAAAAAAGAAAGAAAAAAAAAATAAAAAAAAAAATTCATAATTTATTGAAACCTATATTAGATTACTTTCAGCAGCTCATAGATTCTGCCTTTCTTATTTAATAGGTAGTGTTGATATGATTAGCTGATACATTTAAACAAGAGAGCATAAATTAACTCTCATTTTACTGTGAAGTGCTCTATATATTCTCATTTCCACTGAATCCTGTATGTTTCTAATTGATTTATTTCAATTAGTGTGTTTCATTTTGATTGTTTAACCCCTGGTGGTGGTTATTTTACTAGTGAATCAGTGGTTATGGTAGCCATATCCAATCTTTATTTCTAAATCCTAGAAAGATATTCTACCAATTTATTTGGTATATATCTACTAAGTTTTATCATATTGCTGTTTATTTTTCCACCAACAAAAGACAGGATATGGCTTTAAATAGAAATTTGAATTTTATTAGAGAAAACAGGAGAAACACATTTCACCAAATGATGTCTAATGAGATGAATGGAACAAAGAGGGTTAATGATCATACTCCCTCACCTCAACCAACTTGTACCAGATTGAAAATCTATAAATTAGGAGACCTATTAGAAAAAGAAGTTCAAATCTGGTGGGATATTACAAGTTTCGAATTTTATGTTACCAACAATTTAGTACCAAGGGGTTTGAGGCTACAAAAACCCCTAGCCTACAAAAAGAAAGATGATAATATATTGAAAAAATGGGACCAACTATTGGACAAGGGGTCCCTACTCTTAATTATCTTTCTAATTGGGGAAAAAAAGAAAGAGTTGGAACAACTAGAAACTGAAATTGAACAACTTAAAACAGACTTATCTCCTGAAACTGAAAATGGACTATATGCAGAATTACTTGACAAGATAGAGAGAAAAGTAAAAGATTTGGACAATAAAATAGGAGAAGGTAAAAGGAGAAAAATTATGAGAGCTAAAGAAGATTATGACAAAGGGATACAAAGAAATTGGAAGAAACAGAATCATACCAAATCAGAATGGGCTACACACCAACAATGGGAGAAAAATAGAACTCCAAACAGAAGAGAACATTTTTGGAAAAACCAAGTGAGAGGGATGGAGAAGAAGAGGTATAATCCAGCAAGAGATGTACAAGAAAGTGCGCATTACCACGACAATCACCACCATTCCTCCAGTAATTCCAGAAATCATTTGGGAAATCAAAGGAGAATAATGGAGAGGAGGGGATTAGAATCTCAAAGAGATACATATGAGAGACAGAAATATAAACATAACCCACGGCAATCCCCCCAGAAAGGTGGTGTGTATTCAGAGAACAATCATATAAGAAATGAGAAACGGAGGAGTGATATTTTACAAAAAGACGAAAGATTGTACAAAGACAGAAGGGAAATACATGTTAATTCCCCGAGGATCAACCAATGTTTAACATCATCCATTGTCTCACCCAATCGAAAAGATTTTTTAGGGGATTTTTTAGAGAAGAGAGAAGAGACGAGAATGGCTGTAAAGAAATCATGGAGAGAGAGGGGAGAGCTATTACGTTCTCCAATACAAAGAAAAAGACAAAGAAGAGAGGAAGACAGAGGAGAAACAATCCAGTTATAACGAATATAGGAGAAAACGATGGAGCAGAGAGTGTATTCAATCTATCGGATTATCATTTGAATATTAATGAGATGAATATACTCAAAAAAGGTTTAAAATTCGCTCCCAATAAGAAAAACTCACAATTTAACACTTTTATAGATCTTCACAAATTTATAAGAAAACTGACAGTTAAAAAATATTTTTTAGAAAATAAATATCCAAAACAGGCTGAAGAGGAGAGCTATATACATACAGATCTCCACCCACAATCCATTTTTTACCCCAAACAAGTTAAAAATGACACCATTAGGGTTTTTGAGAGATTAGTTGAGAAGGATTTGCGGAAATTGGAGAAAGGAAGAAAGACTAAAGACAACTTAACCTTCAAAGAAAGGCAAGTGCTAAAAGCACTTACTAACAATCCCGATATAACAATAAGATCTGCTGACAAAGGGGGGGGAGTAGTCCTAATGAATACTGTGGATTACGAGAAAGAAAGCACTAGACTGCTTAGTGATATTAATACATATTTACCCCTCACAGAAAATCCTCAGAAAATGTGTATGGAAGAATTTTTGGAATTAATAAATGATGGCAAATTTAGAGGAATTTTAAACAAAAGAGAATTCGATTTTATTTGTTGCAAACATCCAAGAACGGCAGTTTTCTATCATTTGCCTAAGATTCATAAAAGTCTTATTAATCCCCCTGGAAGGCCAATCATCTCAGGAATTAATTCATTGACATCGAATCTTTCCCAATATGTAGATCAATTCTTACAACCGATGGTGACCCAACTTCCATCATATTTGAAGGACACTACTCAAATTATTAAAGTGTTATCAGATATTGAATGGGAAAAAGGATATTTTTTAGTGACGGCAGATGTGATATCCTTGTATACGATTATTGAACATCTTCAAGGATGTGAAGCTATACAACACTCCTTCGCTATATATTCCGAGCTGAAGAATGATCAGATCAATTTTCTTGTTCAAGCAATTGCATTTATTTTAAGTCATAATACTTTTTGGGCACAACAGCGGTTTTATCTCCAGACAGAGGGTACCGCCATGGGAACCAGGTTTGCACCAAGCTACGCGAATTTGTTTATGGGAAAGTGGGAAGAAGAATTTATTTGAAACAATACCACACATGGTGCAAACCTGGTCCTATGGCGGCGATACATAGATGATTGTATTTTTATTTGGAAAGGCGATCTATGTTCTCTTAATGAATTCAAGAACTACCTCAATTTTAATCCTTATAATTTAAAGTTCACTTTTAATCATTCAAAAATTTCGGTAGAATTTCTAGACCTAGAAATCTACATTAAAGAGGAGAGGATCTGTACAAAAACATTTAAAAAATCTGTTGCCTGTAATAGCTTTATTCCCTCGGACAGCCATCACAAGAAAACTTGGCTGGATAACATACCTTATGGACAGTTCAGACGGATAAGACGAAACTGCACAGAATTAGATATTTGTATAAATCAAATGGAGGAGATGAAGAATCAATTCCTCAAAAAAGGATATGAGAACAAGATGCTGACTAATGCAATGGATAAGGCTTTGAAATTATCTAGGGAAGAAACTTTGATAAGTAAGAATAAGATATCAAAAATGGAGATGGGAACTCCAGCGTTTATCACACAATTTAGCAACCAAGCAGGAAAGATCAAGCACATTCTTAACAAACATTGGAGAATCCTTAAAGAAGATAGTTCATTGGGTATGATATTGGATGATAGACCAAAGATTTTTTATTCAAGAGCGCCCAATCTCAAAACCATATTAGCCCCAACGATTAAAGAAATCAAATTATCAAGCAAGAATCAGGAAACTGGTGGATTTCAAAAATGCAATAGATGTCCAGGTTGTAGAAACAACCCAACCCAACC